GATCTTTCATAATTTCTTCCTCCCCAGACTCCACTGGATCTGCCATTGCTGCATCTTGCCTCGCTTCTCACTCTGTTTTCCCTCAAGCTCTTGTATGCTTCCGTAATCATGTCCGCCCTATCTGCGGCATCTTTCACCTCCTTTATCCCCGCTTCTTGGATCTTGAACTTTGTTTCAGGATGCATCATCTCCAAGAACTTCTCCGTGACCATCAGTTGCTTCAGGTCAGCGTAAGGTCCAACTCCAGCAGCCTCAATCCATTTCTGGAATCGTCTTTCCAGATCTCTTGCCTTCTCAGCAAAAGTACACGCTCCAACCTTCACCATCTCTCCGAAGCGCTTCCTATAAGCTTCTGGGGTTAACTGAAACGAGCGCAATATGCTGCTCTTTACCATGGCATAATCCTGGCAATTTTCCAGTGACAATTGGGTGTATGCCTCTCAGGCTGCACCGGTCAGTCTTATCTGGACCAGCTGGGCCCATTCCTCCTGTGGCCACTCCTTGATGCTGGCTACTTTTTCAAAATGCTCGAAGAAGCTCTCTGCCTCTTCGGGAACAAACAAGGGAATGTCCTTCTCCCTAACCCTAACATCTGGTGAGTGTGATACCTGGGTGGTGCTCTCTGGCAACCCATGTTCAATCCTTTGCTCAGCCATGGTTCTGTTCGCTTCTATCTGCATTTGTTTGGTTCTCTCTTTTTCTTTTTCGACCTGGGCGTTTTCTTTTTCCACCTCTAGTCTTGCTTTCTCTTTTTCTTTCTCCTGTTCCAACTCCAGTTCCCTTATTCTGGTTTTCTCTTTTTCCCTCTCAGCTTCATTTTTCATCTGGAGTTCCAATTTCATCGTTTCCAGCTGGAACTGTCTCTCCTTGTCCTCATGCTGCATCTGGAGCTCTAACTGGTATCTCTCCAAGCTCCTATTGCGGCTACTCCTGCTACTGCGGCTACTCTTGCTGCTCCTACTCGATCCCTGGGATCTCACTTCATCCTGCCCATCATCCTCCTTTCTACTTTCAGCTCCTTTTTGGGCTCCTTGCTCTGCCGCTTCACTCCTGGCTCTTAACTGCCTCAGGATCTCATCCTTCATCCCAGCTACTTTAGATGCTTTCAACCTAATGCCACATTTTTCTGCTATTTGTTTTAATTGTTCTCTCGTGCAACCTTCCAAGTCCTCAGGCTTGCCTGACTCCACAAATGCTTGCACCTTATCCATCTTGTCCTGTGAGTCTTCCCAAGAGAGAGAATATACACCTGCGGTCACACAGTTTATCTATTTCGGCAAGGGTGTACAAATCCACTCTTGGACAGGGTGTGGGCGTGTCAGTTCACTATCCCGGACAGGCCCCCAATTTATTAGAGATTGTGTGTTGGTTGGTGTTGTTGTCGTGTTCCTCCTTCTCTACGGACAACCCAACCCACAACTCAGTAGAGTGTTTATACTTTACCAGGAGATCACCCTGGGCGCTTCTGGCTCTTGGAGAGGGGCTCAACGTCACACATTTAGGGGATGCGGCTCCAATACTTAGCCTCGTTGTCACGTGCACACACCCACTCGAGCCGCTGTGACTCCCCACTCTCTCCTTAGGTGATATGATCTCATCAATCCCCTTTTGACTTATTAGTATTACCTTCTACCCAGTCCACAGCAGTGGTTCTTGGTTCTTTCTCTCTCTCTCTCTTCTTCTGTACTATTTCATGGGAAGCCTCACTAGGACAAGGGCAAACACCAGCAAATTGGAATACATTTACTGGACAAAGTACATACACAATACATACATACATATAATAATAATGAATCCTATACTCTATACTATTGCAATCAGGTTGCACTCCAACACAACCAGAACTCTATCATCAGCTTATCAAGTGGTATCCTATCTTCTGATTCCCCACCTGATACTATCTACCTCTTCAAGTGGATCAAGTCTTATACTGCATGGTTGCATTATCAACACGAGAATATATATACATATCTATAAACGTGTACAAGGAAAATCAGCATGTGAATGCAATAACATAAATCAGTATAAATCTTCCTTGATACACAGCAATGATCAATCGATCACCCTATCAGTCCTAGAACACATACATATGTAGGTAATCCAGCCTACGACTGTAACTCTAAACTTCAGTATAAAACACTCCTTGACATAAGAATGCAAACAATCACTCACCTCTCACTGCGTCTTGCACGCTAATGACAACCACACACTATCAATTCCCTACAAGTAATCCACCAGAACTTCCCTTCCACCTCTGGAAGTTCACTACCCTGATATCTTCAGGTTCCTCCGGGCTTAACTACCAGGATCCTCTGCAGCTCCTCCAGGCTGCTATCATGAAGTTTCCTTGAGCAACTACGGTGCTTCACCCTTCTGCTAGGGTCCTCCACAGCTCTCTTGGCTGCTACACCATGAAGTTCCCCTCGAGCAACTATGGTACTTCACCTCTACAGAAGCACGTGACACTCCTCTTCACTGCTTCTCCTCACAGCTCGAGGTCCTCGCCTCCACTACCTTGGAGTCTCATCAACTACTCCCTCTGTGCTGACTTCGAAGTTCTCAGCAACTTCTTCCCCAAAGACAAACCTGCAACCCATCGACACTCCAATAAAAATGTTTCCCGTTTAACACATAAACAAAAATAATCACACAATATGTTTGCCTCCAACCTCTATCTGTCCTCTACATACTGTGAGAGTGGACTCCCCTGTTGGGCGGGTCCATGCTCCACCTCGCCCGGTGGGGCCTCAGTCACTCCGGGAGGGGCCTCCGCCATCGGGAGCTCTCAGTCACCTGCCAGCGCTCAGAGGGGACAAACGTCGCTCCGTGTTCCTCCCTCTCCACTCTCTTATTTTAGGCTTTCTGCCTTATCAAAACATGTCTAACTTATAAATAAAAATTGCTATTGTCGCTGGGCACATGACCAACTACAAGCAATCACTATGAACTGGCGTATATCGTGCTTACCACAGATTGTCTCGTCGAGGGCGCTATCCCTCAGACATAGGCTGGTCAGGCCGCCTCCACGGCCCACAATAATGCCTCTGGGCGGTTTAATAAACACTCCTCGTCGCCCAGGACTTGAGACCACACATCCCCAGCTCGATTCCACAGCTGGTACGTCTGCACACTTCTCTTCTCTTCGAGATATATCACTAGGGGTTCCCTTCTGACGGGAGCTCAACGGAGCGCGGCTTTCCCCCTGCGATGTCTGGCCTCAAGTGAGGTCAAAGCCCTCCAGAAGCGAGCCTCACACCTCCAGCAAAACATCCACATCTCCTAACCAGTCATTTATCTGTTTTCTTCTTCACTGCCCATAATCTCAAATTATTATTTAAATCCAACCAACTATTTTACATATGTGTTATCACCTCCATATTTCCTAGACCTTCCGGTTAGGTCAGGCTTGTTGAATAACTCTCTAGGGGGAGACTCGTTTCTCCTGTAGGCTGAGATCATAACAACACACACACCATAAAACACCCGCTATATGAGGCCACACACCATAAAACACCCGTTACATGAGGCCACTCACACCATAAAACACCCGCTATATGAGGCCACACACCATAAAACACCCGTTACATGAGGCCACTCACACCATAAACACCCGCTATATGAGGCCACACACCATAAAACACCTGCTATAGGAGGCCACACACACCATACAACACCTGTTACAGGTGGCCACACATTATACAATACCTGCTAAAAGACGCCACACACCATAGAACACCCGCTACAGGAGGCCACACACACCATACCACGACTGATACAGGAGGCCTCACACCATACAACACCTGCTACAGGAGGCCACACAGCATACAACACCTGCTACAGGAGGCCTCACACCATACAACACCTGCTACAGGAGGCCACACACCACACCTGCTACAGGAGGTCACACACCATACAACACCTGCTACAGGAGGCCACACACCATACAACACCTGCTACAGGTGGCCACATACCATTCAACACCTGCTACTGGAGGCCACACACCATACAACACCTGCTACAGGAGCCCAAACACCATACAACACCTGCTACAGGAGGCCCACACTATACAACACCTGCTACAGGAGGCCATACACCATACAACACCTGCCACACACCATACAACACCTGCTACAGGAGGCCACACACAACACCTGCTATAACACACACACAACACCTGCTACAGGAGGCCACACACCATACAACACCTGCTACAGGAGGCCATACACCATACAACACCTGCTACAGGAGGCCACACACTATACAACACCTGCTACAGGAGGCCACACATTAAATAACGCCTGCTACAGGAGGCCACACACCATACAACACCTGCTACAGGAGGCCACACACCATACAACACCTGCTACAGGAGGCCACACACCATACAACACCTGCTACAGGAGGCCACACACCATACAACACCTGCTACAGGAGGCCACACACCATACAACGCCTGCTACAGGAGGCCACACACCATACAACACCTGCTACAGGAGGCCACACACCATACAACACCTACTACAGGAGGCCACACACCATACAACACCTGCTACAGGAGGCCACACACCATACAACACCTGCTACAGGAGGCCACACACCATACAACACCTGCTACAGGAGGCCACACACCATACAACGCCTGTTACAGGAGGCCACACACCATACAACACCTGCTACAGGAGGCCACACACCATACAACACCTGCTACAGGAGGCCACACACCATACAACACCTGCTACAGGAGGCCACACACCATACAACACCTGCTACAGGAGGCCACACACCATACAACACCTGCTACAGGAGGCCACACACCATACAACACCTGCTACAGGAGGCCACACACCATACAACACCTGCTACAGGAGGCCACACACCATACAACACCTGCTACAGGAGGCCACACACCATACAACACCTGCTACAGGAGGCCACACACCATATAATACCTGCTACAGGAGGCCACACACCATACAACACCTGCTACAGGAGCCACACACCTGCGTTCTCAACATCACAGGGGATGATGACAGACTGGCCAGCCTCCACAGTAAAGAGCTGTGCGCGCGCCAGGAAGGTGGGAGCCTCGTCCGTGACGTCCTCGTAGTCCTGGTACGAGTTCGGGTCGTCGTAGGTGTCGTCGTAGTGGTCGTTGTAGCCCCTTGATAGTCCTGCACACAGCACAGAAGGAGTAGTTAGTATTCAGAGCATCAATCAAATAAGCATTAAATCAATCAATTATAAATCAAACATAAACCAGACAAGCATCAACCAAACAGGTACCAGCCAAACAATCATCAACTCAACAATCATCAACCACACACAGGTACCAACCGAACAGGTACCAGCCAAACAATTACCAACCTAACAATCATCAACCAAGCAAGCATCAACCAAACAGGTACCAACCAAACAGGTACCAAACCAACAATTATCAACCACACAGGTACCAACCAAACAATCATCAACCCAACAATTAACAACCACACAGGTACCAACCCAACAATCATCAACCCAACAATCAACAATCACACACAGGTACCAACCCAACAATCAACAACCACACATAGGTACCAACCCAACAATCAACAACCATACACAGGTACCAACCCAACAATCATCAACCCAACAATCATCAACTAAACAATCACCAACCAAACAATCATCAACCCAACAATCAACAACCACACAGGTACCAACCCAACAATCATCAACTAAACAATCACCAACCAAACAATCATCAACCCAACAATCAACAACCACACACAGGTACCAACCCAACAATCAACAACCACACACAGGTACCAACCCAACAATCAACAACCACACACAGGTACCAACCCAACAATCATCAACCCAACAATCATCAACTAAACAATCACCAACCAAACAATCATCAACCCAACAATCATCAACCAAGCAAGCATCAACCCAACAATCATCAACCAAGCAAGCATCAACCCAACAATCATCAACCAAGCAAGCATCAACCCAACAATCATCAACCAAGCAAGCATCAACCCAACAATCACCAACCAAACAATCATCAACCCAACAATCATCAACCAAGCAAGCATCAACCACTCAGTGATGAAGGTAGTCCCATCACCGTGACCAGCCCTCAAGCGAGTACCTCCTATTTCTTAAGATAACAACACGGGAACGTAAGAATTAAATATACTGCAGACAATATATATTGTGACTAACTGATCTATACCCATGAAACAATGTGTGCGTGTGTGTGCCCAATGGTGGAGGCCGGGCGCTCGGGGCTAACATCACCCAAATTTGCAGGGGGAATGGTCTGGGGTACGGGACAGCCATAACCTGGCCAAGGTTGGCCTAAGTTAAATACTTTAGGAAATATCAGTAATTATCCACACCCCGAAGTCCATTTTCGTGGAACCAAATGTGAAACATGACGTGTCATTACCGTGGAGTTGTAACGGTCGCAATAAACGCCAGGGAAGGTATTAAAAGGAAGAGAACACCAATCTTAAGAGACATTTACTTCAGAGCCTCTCGACGGGGGGGGGGAAGAAGGGAGGGGTGACCTAGGGGATAGGAACTAGGGAGGATCAAGGGGAAGCAGGGGAGATGGGGAGTATGGAGATAGGGAGAGACCAGGGTAAGGGCGAGGGAGTACGAAGTGGGGGGGGAGGGGACAAATGGAACGAGGAAGGTCAAGGCAAGATGAGGGGAAGACAAGGGGAATGTCTAAACCGGGAAAATGAGGGATATGAGAGAGAAGTTAAATGAAGGGAGAGGGGAAGGAAGGGAAGGGGAAGGGGAGCGGAGAGAAGTGAACAAGGAGGGAAGGCAAAGGGAAAGAGAGGGAAGATGAGAGATATCGGGATAGAGGAAAAGAAAGACACGGGTGTCGGGGCAGCGGTAGACTGTCCCGGGCAACGCCGGCCACTTCCCCTATTACATATGTATTTTTATCCATCGCTTGAAACACTGCAGGGATCCCACCCCGGGTATGTTCGGGGACTGTTAACTCTGAGCTGAGCACCGCGCGTTTACCTGCCCTCCCGCTGCCAGGTGTCGTGTGGCCGTCATTATTTCCTCTCTAATATGGCCACCAGCGTAGGTGTTGATGTATGGCCACCAGTGTAGGTGTTGATGTATGGCCACCAGTGTAGGTGTTGATGTATGGCCACCAGCATAGGTGTTGATGTATGGCCACCAGCGTAGGTGTTGATGTATGGCCACCAATGTAGGTGTTGATGTATGGCCACCAGCGTAGGTGTTGATGTATGGCCACCAGCGTAGGTGTTGATGTATGGCCACCAGTGTAGGTGTTGATGTATGGCCACCAGTGTAGGTGTTGATGTATGGCCACCAGCGTAGGTGTTGATGTATGGCCACCAGCGTAGGTGTTGATGTATGGCCACCAGTGTAGGTGTTGATGTATGGCCACCAGTGTAGGTGTTGATGTATGGCCACCAGTGTAGGTGTTGATGTATGGCCACCAGTGTAGGTGTTGATGTATGGCCACCAGCGTAGGTGTTGATGTATGGCCACCAGTGTAGGTGTTGATGTATGGCCACCAGCGTAGGTGTTGATGTATGGCCACCAGCGTAGGTGTTGATGTATGGCCACCAGTGTAGGTGTTGATGTATGGCCACCAGTGTAGGTGTTGATGTATGGCCACCAGCGTAGGTGTTGATGTATGGCCACCAGCGTAGGTGTTGATGTATGGCCACCAGCGTAGGTGTTGATGTATGGCCACCAGTGTAGGTGTTGATGTATGGCCACCAGTGTAGGTGTTGATGTATGGCCACCAGTGTAGGTGTTGATGTATGGCCACCAGTGTAGGTGTTGATGTATGGCCACCAGCAGTAGGTGTTGATGTATGGCCACCAGTGTAGGTGTTGATGTATGGCCACCAGTGTAGGTGTTGATGTATGGCCACCAGCGTAGGTGTTGATGTATGGCCACCAGCGTAGGTGTTGATGTATGGCCACCAGTGTAGGTGTTGATGTATGGCCACCAGTGTAGGTGTTGATGTATGGCCACCAGTGTAGGTGTTGATGTATGGCCACCAGTGTAGGTGTTGATGTATGGCCACCAGCGTAGGTGTTGATGTATGGCCACCAGCGTAGGTGTTGATGTATGGCCACCAGTGTAGGTGTTGATGTATGGCCACCAGCGTAGGTGTTGATGTATGGCCACCAGCGTAGGTGTTGATGTATGGCCACCAGCGTAGGTGTTGATGTATGGCCACCAGCGTAGGTGTTGATGTATGGCCACCAGCGTAGGTGTTGATGTATGGCCACCAGCGTAGGTGTTGATGTATGGCCACCAGCGTAGGTGTTGATGTATGGCCACCAGCGTAGGTGTTGATGTATGGCCACCAGCGTAGGTGTTGATGTATGGCCACCAGCGTAGGTGTTGATGTATGGCCACCAGCCACCAGTAGGTGTTGATGTATGGCCACCAGCGTAGGTGTTGATGTATGGCCACCAGCGTAGGTGTTGATGTATCGCCACCAGTGTAGGTGTTGATGTATGGCCACCAGCGTAGGTGTTGATGTATGGCCACCAGTGTAGGTGTTGATGTATGGCCACCAGTGTAGGTGTTGATGTATGGCCACCAGCGTAGGTGTTGATGTATGGCCACCAGTGTAGGTGTTGATGTATGGCCACCAGTGTAGGTGTTGATGTATGGCCACCAGCGTAGGTGTTGATGTATGGCCACCAGTGTAGGTGTTGATGTATGGCCACCAGCGTAGGTGTTGATGTATGGCCACCAGTGTAGGTGTTGATGTATGGCCACCAGTGTAGGTGTTGATGTATTGCCACCAGCGAAGGTGTTGATGTATGGCCACCAGTGTAGGTGTTGATGTATGGCCACCAGCGTAAGTGTTGATGTATGGCCACCAGCGAAGGTGTTGATGTATGGCCACCAGCGTAGGTGTTGATGTATGGCCACCAGCGTAGGTGTTGATGTATGGCCACCAGTGTAGGTGTTGATGTATGGCCACCAGTGTAGGTGTTGATGTATGGCCACCAGCGTAGGTGTTGATGTATGGCCACCAGTGTAGGTGTTGATGTATGGCCACCAGTGTAGGTGTTGATGTATGGCCACCAGCGTAGGTGTTGATGTATGGCCACCAGTGTAGGTGTTGATGTATGGCCACCAGTGTAGGTGTTGATGTATGGCCACCAGTGTAGGTGTTGATGTATGGCCACCAGCGTGTGTTGAGTATGGCCACCAGCGTTGATGTATGGCCACCAGTGTAGGTGTTGATGTATGGCCACCAGTGTAGGTGTTGATGTATGGCCACCAGTGTAGGTGTTGATGTATGGCCACCAGCGTAGGTGTTGATGTATGGCCACCAGCGTAGGTGTTGATGTATGGCCACCAGCGTAGGTGTTGATGTATGGCCACCAGCGTAGGTGTTGATGTATGGCCACCAGCATAGGTGTTGATGTATGGCCACCTTCGTAGGTGTTGATGTATGGCCACCAGTGTAGGTGTTGATGTATGGCCACCAGCGTAAGTATTGATGTATGGTCACCAACGTGAGTGTTGATGTATGAACACCAACGTAAGTGTTGATGTATGGCCACCAGCGTTAGTTTTGATGTATGGCCACCTACGTAAGTGTTGATGTATGGCCACCTGCGTAAGTATTGATGTATGGCTACCAGCGTTGGTGTTGATGTATGGCCACCAGCGTAAGTGTTGATGTATGGCCACCAGCGTTAGTGTAGATGTATGGCCACCAGCGTAGGTGTTGATGTATGGCCACCAGTGTATGTGATGATGTATGGCCACCAGTGTAGGTGTTGATGTATCGTAGGTGTTGATGTATGGCCACTAGCGTAGGAGTTGATGTATTAACACCAGCGTAGGTGTTGATGTATGGCCACCAGCGTAAGTGTTGATGTATGGCCACTAGCGTAGGAGTTGATGTATTAACACCAGCGTAGGTGTTGATGTATGGCCACCAGCGTAAGTGTTGATGTATTGCCACCAGCGTAAGTGTTGATGTATGGCCACTAGCGTAGGAGTTGATGTATTAACACCAGCGTAGGTGTTGATGTATGGCCACCAGCGTAATTGTTGATGTATGGACACCATCGTAGGTGTTGATGTATGGCCACCAACGTAAGTGTTGATGTATGGCCATCAGCGTAGGTGTTAATGTATTGCCACTATC